ACAGGAAAAGATTTAGTAAAACCTATCATTTTTAGTTGCTGTTTAATTATGCAAGTTTAGTATGTTATTGTTTAGTCGGTTTAAATGTTAGAATTTTCTTCTTTAAACTTTATTGTTGTCGTCACTACATCTGGAAAACCAGGTATAAGAACAAATTAAAAGTATTCTAAAAGAGACCAGGTTGTTTGAAAATCCTAAACGAATGCTAAAAATCGTCAAAACATTCTGGTATCTGAGCCAGAGTGTCATCGAATTGCGATGTAATGTAAACAGAAATTATAGCAAGTTGATGTCAGTCAGCTTAAATGGTCCAAGCCAAAATTATATCGCATTTGAAGTTTCAAACTGAGTTAAAAATAGTGGAAGAAAAGCCTTAATTATACTTATTGTTACAATCCATTTAATAAAATGCAACATTTTTTTGTTTTAATGAAAAAATCAGTTATTTTCATGAGAACGATTTGTTATTCCATCTTAATTTTTTTAATCTCCAATCACAATAACGTAAAGTATTATTACCCGCGAACCAATGAGTCAAATTTAAGAAACAACCCACTGTTAGAAAGCTGAATGGCTACGCTTCAAAATGAATGTAAACTTTAACGTATTCGTCTATTATTTGTTTAGCAATTTACATTTCAGTCGAGGATTGAGCTTTTTTTGATACACCCTGTAGAGAATAATACATGGGTGCGCAAGAAATACCAGATTTATTTCGAGTGTTGACCATGATATCTCACAAGTGAGCGCAGCGAACAAGTGAGATATCATGTTCAACACAAGAAATAAATCTGGTATTTCCAAGCACCCATGTATTTTTCTGTTTATTATATAAAGGACAGTCTTTGAAAAGCGATAATTTTTACAGAAAAGCGATAATTGAAAAGTTATCATTTTTCACATGTGAGATTATCATGAATAATCTCACATGTGTGATTATCACTTTTATCAGTGCTCGAAATGTCTATAAAGCACCATACTTTTTACAATAAAATACAGTATATTAATTTGAAATGACAGGAAAGAACTTCACAATCAATTAAACTTAAAATGTCTAATGTACTATGTTTATTATTTACTGTAACTGAAAATGTTACTGCCAGAAAAGTTTATACTCTTCTGGTTAATTGTTTAACCAGTCTCTCTGCCAATGCGCCGTGTTAAATTGTAGCATGCCCCGAAAAAGTGTTACCTATTGATAGTTTAGCCAAACTTTCTGCCTATTTAAGATCTCAAATATTTACTCTGACACGTCACCAACAAAAGTACTATTAGATTGAGTTTGTTTTATCTATAAGTTGTTTCATAAACACACAAAAGGTGCAGTGCACTCTTCATAATATTCTGTAATGCAAAATATTTATTTTTTCAAGGGAACGTGTTGGCCATGCATTAATGTTTAACGAAGGACAGTTACAGCAAAACATCTGTCGATTGTGTGCGCTGCTATATAGTGACGTGTCCTCATTTTTGACTGTGTCAAAGTGCCATTCAGCAAAGACTATTGGTTTTCAAATCACCTGTACTGGTAACATGAACTTTAATTTGGATTGTGAGTCTGTGACCGATGTAAACTGTTAAAATATTCAATTGAATCAAAATATGTATATGTAGACTATAGTTTTAAACTCTAAAAATAATTATAGTTTAAATTTGTAATAAATTTATTTTTAACTGTTACTACATTGGTATAATATAATTACATTACTTTGAGCACTAGAAAGTAAGCTTTACACTGCAAGCATATTTAAACCTTGGGAAGAGTAAGTTTACTTTCGAGGTGTAACTTTACACCAATTTGGTGTCGCCACAGAGGAAAGTAGATTTACACCAAAGAAGTGCTAGATAACCTATGGCAGTGTAAGTTTACTCTCTCAGTGTAAACAAACGCCAAATTGGTGTCCCCACAGAGGCAAGCGGATTTACACCAAAGCAGCGTTAAATAACCTAGGACAGTGTAAGTTTACCCTCTCAGTGTAAATACACACCAAATTGGTGTCCCCACAGAGGCAAACGGATTTACACCAAAGCAGTGTTAAGTAACCTAGGATAGTGTAAATTTACTCTCTCAGTGTAAACAAACACCAAATTGGTGTCCCCACAGAGGCAAGCGGATTTACACCAAAGCAGCGTCAAATAACCTAGGATGGTGCAAATTAACACCAAATGGGTGTTCATACAGACACAACTATTTACACTGAAGAGGTGTAAATTAACACTAAAATCAGTGTTAACTGACACCTTTTCGGTGTCCCCACAGAGGCAAGAATTTACACCGATTTTGGTGTTGTGGCACACTCCCAGATTTACACCTGGACATATATTTCGACAAATAACTAGGAAAATTTTACAAATATATAAACAAAATTTCCTCGCTTGTCAAAGTGAAAAAGTCTAAGAAAAATCGTCGGAGAAAATACAGCAGTATAGTTCTAGTTCTTCTGACAACGATTCCAGTAGTTCCTCAAGTCGTTGAGATGTACGTGAAATTAACGAAGGCACGATGAGTAGAATTCGAACAGAAAACAACGCGGTACCGGGAAGAAAAAGCGCATGCAAATGTCAAAAGAGTCGACGGCATAATTCGTCTATAATAAAACTCATGGAATTGGCCGTGCCTTCAGATAACGGCATGTATCAGGGGTTGATCCAGCAAAAAATCTGACCGTATTTGTAGTTAATTTTTATTTAAATATTAGACAAGATAATATCAAAAAACTGTTTATTATAGCAACGGAAACAGTCGGCATCGATATTCCCGCCTATCCATGTATATAGAGATATTTTAGATTTAATTATCGATCGATATGATGGTAGTTTGCAAATTAAACTGTATAATAAGAAGGAAATATAGCATAATACGAATTACATTAGGGCTTATGACTAACTCTTTTTTATCTTATTTAGGCAAGAAATCAAATTTAAGGCGAAGCGATTGATCATTTCGTCCGTAAGTTTTTCTTTTTCTACGTTTGGGCAACAACTTTCAACATTTGTGACAATAATGGTTCTAATATGGACTGATAAGTCCAAACTCACACCTTACCATCTGATCACAATGATGTTGCTCTTTGCAAATATCAACGATGTAGTTCTTTTCGAAATCCCAAAGTCAATACATTTTACTACGAACATAATTACGGCGCTTACTCGGATACAGCGTTTCTTGGAAAGCTATGATTTCCTGGATGTCACGACCGATAAGGATCGAGTTCCTACAAGTGACCAATCAGAATGTGTTGAAAAGTCAACTGAAGAGATGAAAGCTTCGGTGAATGTAAGCTGTACTCCTCACGTCTGGCTAGATAATGTGTCATGTAATTTACCCGCATCAGGTGTTTCAAATCCTCGAGAAAACAATGTATTAATGTTAAACGACATTTCTTTCAAGATATCATCAAAGGGATTGGTTATTATCACTGGTTCTGTCGGTAGTGGAAAGACGTCACTGCTCGCAAGCATTCTTAATAAGGAACTTCGTGTTACCGAGGGAACAATAAAGCGTTTTGGAAACATCGCCTATGTCTCAGATAAACCTTGGGTATTTCCAGGAACGATTCGTCAGAATATATTATTCGGTTCAGCCTATGATGAAAAGTGGTATTTAGAAATTGTCAAAGCTTGTCAGTTGGAAAAAGATTTTAAGGGATTCCCGGAACTGGACTTGTCTCGTATTGGCGAACACGGTGCGACATTGAGTGGTGGACAGCGGGCACGTCTAGCCCTTGCGCGCGCGGTTTATTCACGGGCAGATATATATCTAATGGATGATCCTTTAAGTTCTTTAGATGCCAAAGTCGCAGAAAATGTTTTTAAGAATGTTTTAAAAAGAATGTTATCAGAACGGATTGTGTTCTTAGTCACGCACAAACATTTCAATGAAGCTGACTACATCATAATTTTGGATAAAGGTAAGAAGCTTCAGTAATGACTGTACAACTACTTTTAATATCTAAACTATAGTTTTGTGCATTGAAGACATTAATCCGATAGATGGGCGAGTATAATCCATATATATTGTGCTTTGCAAATAAGAAACGCGGAATAGCAAAAACTGTTAACTGCAAATAATGTTAACACTTATTCAGTATGAACGCAGACGAAAGAAATACTTTCTGTTTCGCGTTAACCATATCAGTGGTCGCCCTCGCTGCTCAATTTGAAGGAAATAAATGTAATGTTGGAGGAAATCATGGCGTATAAATATAAAACATCAGACTTTAAAACTGAATAGATTAGTGAAACAACTAATATTTTGACAAAATACAAACAACGGCAATTCCGAAAAGATAGAAGAAAATTTATATATCACAATATTAACAACACGTTTGTCACCTTCAAACCTGGTTATGATCTCATAGTGGCAGGGTACGCTTGTCAATAGCAACAGAAGAAGCATATATGCATCAGTCGAAAATTCGAATATTTCTGTGGGTATGTGCAAACCGAATGAAAGACTAACAAACCAATCATATATGCCAACATGATTTGACAAATATCCAAACAATGAACCATGTCTTGTTACCGAGAAAGAAAATTTCCACCCACCCACCCACCCGTTCAAGTTCCTTGTGTAACTGGGCTGGTACTTAAGTTGGTTAGGGGTCGCTGCCAGTCTGATAGGGGCCTATCGGGATTATGACCCCTAGGGCATTCAGTCATTCCTAGAATTTCTTATAAGTTCCCCTGCGGGAAATAACATAAGCCTTACTAATTCTTTGGGTTTATCAGAGTTGAAATTAAAAGCTTTCCTTCGACGTTGACGCCATTATTTTGCGCAGTCGGGGAAGAAGTGTGAGGTTGAAAATCTTTATCTGTGAATACTGTCGAGTTTCTCGAACAACACGGCTAGGTTCGCGCCAAATAAGACAAGTTTATTCGCTGTGGAATAAAATCTGATTGAGCAATTCGTCAACTTGTACGTAACAACATTGTGTTTTTGTCTTCTTTGAGTTCACCATCTCCGTTTGCTTCATCAGTTTCCAGAACCGAGTTCACAAACCATTTCAAATCATTCGCTGTTCCACCCCAGGTGAAGAAATCATTTTCTTCGTCGTAGTCAAGATACTTGTTCATATTACTTTGAAGACTTTGAACTATGTAAGCACACTTTGTTGTGTTAAAAAAAAAAAAAATGCCATGTTAGTCTGTCATCAATATGTACCACTAATGACTTGGTTGCTTTGACTCTATTTATAGCTTTGTTTTCAAGAAACAGTAGCGGCACATCTCTTAACTTGTCAAGATTTTGGTCTGATCCAATGAACATGTACTCAGTTTTGATTTCAGCAAGTCACTTATATTATTTAAGTCATTATTAGCATGTGTTACTATTTCTCGAATAGATGTTCCTGTCGTTGTCATGTTTGT